CTGTCCGGTTATCCCAGGCACCGCTGTCCCCCCTGCGGTGCCCAGGACACAGAGAACACTGACAGAGGCTGCTGGAAGAAAGAAGTAGAGATCAGCATTTCCCCCACCGCTGAACACTCCCCCTTCCCTCTCTCTAAAGGTGGAAGCGACGTCTATGACATCACTTCCACCTTCAGCTGTCATTTCAGGGCTTGAAGAGTGGTTTGTGATATATCTGGGAGTTAAGTCATATATGAAGTGTGTGTTGAGTGTGTGCATAGGGGAGTGTGTGCCTAGGGGAGTGTGCCACATACCCGGCAGATGGTCACCAGAGGCATCCATCAAAACAAAGCTTTTTGAGCTGTACTCTACCAATAATGAGGCTTCATGACCATTAGGGATCCAAGAAGCACTTGGGGACCTTCTGTGATGGCTTCCCTCAAGGTTCCTGGCGTCATCCCAACCCTGTCGTTCTCCTAAAATGTTACCATTGACCATTTTAAATACGGATGGTTAGGCTCTTCGCTCTTCAGTGACCCCCATCGGAAAAAGTTGAGCTTAGAAACACAACGTGGTGGTGATTTTAGGGTCACTTATCCGACGTAGAGCAAGGGTTGACCACTGTTGCCAACCGGGAACATGGATCCCATCCTGGAAGCCCGGCAAGAAGTGATTCTGGTGAAACCACCCCCCTGACATTGGGAAAGGAAATGGGCTTGTCACTGGAGTGCTTGATCTGGTGGTAGAGAAGGGAGGGCTTCCACGTGAAGCACTTCCCGCACTGAGAGCAAGAATAAGGCTTCTCCCCCGTGTGAATCCTTTGATGCCTAACCAGGTTGGACCTCTTGGCGAAGGATTTCCCGCAGTCCGAACAGGAAAAAGGCTTTTCCCCCGTGTGAATCTTCTGATGGGTGACTAGATAGGACTTATCGTTGAAACATTTCCCACAAATGGGGCACGAATGCGGCTTTTCCCCCGTGTGGATCCTCTGGTGGGTCACCAGGTGGGACGTCTGCGTGAAACATTTCCCGCATTCAGTACATTCAAACTTTTTTGAACCCGTTTGGGATCTCCGGTGTAAATGGTTTTCCCTCGGAGATAAATGTCGGCTGCATTCAGAGCCGTGGGACATTTCGCCCACCGTGAGGGCTGAATAGTGCATGATGGGATGTGGTGGATCGGGTGAGCACCACCGATGTGTAGAAGGGTCACATGACAGATCGTTGGTGTAATGTACGGGATGAAGATTTGGGGTGAAGGGATTTTCCACCGGACAGTCCTCAGGGAAGTCATCGTCATCTATTTCACTATCCAGGCAAATGACGGGGTGCTTCTCCGGACTACTCCCATTACACCGTCCATCTACAAGGGAAAGTATTATATATTTTCAGTCAGCATATATTACTAGTGCTTACGCAAATTTTTAAAAATATAATTTTTATTTTACGTAGATTTTCTTTAACCTAAGTTTTATTTTACAGAAATTGTTACCCAAATTTTAACAGAATTGTTTCTTTTATTTTAATTTACATACATTTGTTTCCTAAATTTTATTTTATGTAATTTTTTTCCTAATATTTTTTACCGACGCTTTTTATTTACCTTAATTTTCACTTTGTAATTGTATGAAATAGATAGGTCCACTCACAGACTTGCACTTAAATTTGCTTGTTGGACATCCCGCCCCAACACTATGAAGATTAATATGAAATCCCGCCACCCCCACCTTTCCTTTGTGGCCATAACAGCCTCCACTCTTCTGGTAAGGTTTTCTACAAGATTTTGGAGGGTGTCTATGGGAATTTGTGGCCAATCGGCCTAAAGAACATCTGTGAGGTCAGGTACTGATGTTGGATGAGAAGACCTGGCTCATAATCGGAGGTCCAATTCATCCCACAGGTGTTCAGTAGGGTTGAGGTGAGGATTGTCTAGTCACTCTACACCAAACCGGTCAAACCATGTCTTTATGGAGCTGGCTTTGTACACAGGGGGCAGTCATAGTGGAACAGAAAAGGGTCTTCACCAAACTGTTACCATAGAGTTGGAAGAGCACAATGGTCTACAATGTCCTTGTAACATTGGTGTAGCATTAACAGTACCCTTCACCGGTGACCGCAAACTTTTTCCCATATAGTGTGCAATAGTGCCGATACCGAGTATTTGGGCGAGTACTTGTACTCGCTCAAATGCTCCGATACCTTTCCCGATACTGGAACTTGCGGACAGAGGGAGATCTCAAGTGACCGCAAGTGCCGAGGGAACATGGAGCCGGCTTCCTTTCCAACCAGGAAGCCGGGCGGTGGGTTATGATTGGTCAGGAAGCGAGGCTGCCTAGAAACAAATGAAGCCGACTTCCTTTCCAATCAGGAAGCCGGGCGGTGGGTTATGATTGGTCAGGAAGCGAGGCTGCCTAGAAACAAATGAAGCCGACTTCCTTTCCAATCAGGAAGCCGGGCGGTGGGTTATGATTGGTCAGGAAGCCACGCTGCCTAGGAACAAGTGAAGCCGGCTTCCTAGCCAATCAGAAAGGCGGATCATGACGTGCCACGTGGCTTCCTGATTGGAAAGGAAGCCGGCTTCCAAATTGGCTGGGAAGTCAGCCTCACTCGTTGGTAAGCAGCCTGGCTTCCTAACCAATCAGGAAGCTTAGATCAGCTAGAACACCGGCTTCACAGGCAATCTGGAAGCCAGGCGAAGAGTCATGATCCGCCGCCCGACTTCCTGATAATCTGGGCACATGGCACCGGTATTCAGTATCGGCGATTACCGGGAAAAAAAGTGTGTACTCGTATTCGATACCGAAAGACTGGTATTGGTGCATGCCAAGCACATATTCATCTTTCCATTGTTCCCCCGTCCTTTCTGTTAGACTGCTGGGAACAAAGAACTCTTAGTGCCTATGGGGATGAAGAGTTGGTGTCCCCGTCTCTCCACCGAGACATCGCTAGTTGCCTGAGACGCTAACTGCCAACCACCAGCCGTGTCACGTGACAAGAACCAGAGGAGCCGAGCCTCTTCCCCTATCAGCTTTAATGAATTGCTTACCTTCAGCCACCTCTGGAGGAAGTTCTTCTTCCCTAAAGGACTCCTCATCCATCCCATATATATCTTGAACTTTAATGACAACAACATCTTCATCCTGAATGAGACATAACATAACGGTTACAAAATCGCTACACTCGGTCTACGCTCACTTTTGGAATTTATGAAAGATCTCCAGAAGGACTTACGTAATAATCGAGGGGGGAGTTGTGATCCTCCACTGCTGAACCCTGAGAATCCGGAGGAATGGGACATCTCTCTGGTGGGTTCCTCTTACTGGATCCATCTGTAGGAAACACACACACACTGACTGAATACATTGTTTCTATGTCTTTATATCAGAGGATGTGTGTATCTAGGGGGATCCTCAATACTCAAGAAATGAAAGTCTCCTCTTACCCGGTGATGTGAGGGGCGGCCGGTTCTCCATCATGACGTCCTTGTAGAGATCCCGGTGTCCTTCTAGATACTCCCACTCCTCCATGGAGAAATAGACAGAGACGTCCTGACACCTTATAGGAACCTGACACACACAATGATACAGTCACCATCCAGACACATCCCTTGTCTGTTCCTGGATCATGTCCCAGAATTCCCGGCACCGCTCACCTCTCCTGTCAGCAGCTCAATGATCTTCTGGGTGACTTCCAGGATCTTCTTGTCGTTGTCTCTCTCGGAAGTCAGGGAGGGAGGTGGAGGGTCTATGATGAGGTATGGGTTTCTGTTCCATCCCCCTAACTCTACCGGTTTACTTGACTTCCTCAAAGGTCCATAATTCTACAAAAAAAGGTAAAAATTATGAATTCATGAACTGCAGCATCCCCACCCCCCACGTCATGTGACCTCCCAGAATCCTCCTTACCTCTCCGGTCAGCAGGTAGATGATCTCCAGGGTGAGGTGTAATATCCTCTCAGTCATGTGACTCTGCTCCTTCTCCATCCTTAGCGATGATACTTTAAATGGACTCCGCTCCTCATGGGTGGGGCCAACCATGGTGACACCTCTGCAATTGCAAGACACATTTCAGAAGATGAAAGGCCAGCGATGTGTCACCTCTGTCGAGTCGGCTGGCTGCCCTAAGTCATAGAATACTGAACAATCAGAGCCAAGATTACAGGCTGTGTCACATGACCTTTTCAGAGGAATAAACAGGTTGCATTAAACTCCACCTCCAAGCTAATTTAACCCCGCCCCCACACAGGGGTCATGCCCAGCTGTGCTACTGGGCTCCTCACAGTATACAAAAGAATCAACTTTATGTAATAAGAATAATCAATGCAGCTATCAAGAATATATACTTTCTATATTCAGAGGTAATAATCCAGAATAATCACAATAATACAGACAGAATCCCACGTGATCACAATAATAAATAGATATATAATAAATAGAACTCTGTCATACATTGTTAGCTGTAACCAGCTGCCTGTCTCCTCTCTATCTTCATTATTCTCCCCATCCCCGGAAACTCTCTTACTTCCGCCCTGTGGTTACAACATTTCCGCTGTGTGCGTTCCACGGTCGCCCAGCAGCTTCCTGATTGCCATAGTAACTGCTTCAGGAGCCTCTCTGTGCACTCTTTTAGGTGTGAGTACTCGAGAAGCAGCCATTTTGTTGTAGTCCGCATACTTTTGTTACCTCATTTGCAAACTTGTCTTTCTCAAAACTGTGTCCGTGTAGTGTATGTGAGATTTACAGCGATTATTAAAAAATTTTAATTAAGTAATTTTAATAATTAAATGGAGCAAGCTAGTTGTCGAGAAGAACGCGGCGGCCATTTTATTGTAGCTCTATGGAGAGAAAATTAAGGAGCTGCAGCAGTATTTGTTTTGGGTGTGAACGATACATTGACAAACACAAAGCTATGCAGAGTCTACAAACTGCTTCTGGGTTACAGTTGGGGATTGACTGCATGGGAGGTACTGCACTGTTACTGCTAGGTGTTATTATATCCTTTACTATTTATATCATATTGTTTTTGTAATCCATAGATTGGTATGTCTGTTGGAAACGCAGCAGCTTTCTCTCTGCCCTTTATTGTTGCTGCATTTATGGATGTGAAATATCACTTCTTAGGCCATAGGCAGCTCAAGGATGGTGGGAGCCCCTCATAATGGGCACAGCAGGTGTACAGACCCGGGAACTCAGCACAGGGATGGTGGGAACCCCTCATAATGGGCACAGCAGGTGTACAGACCCGGGAACTCAGCACAGGGATGGTGGGGGCCCCTCATAATGGGCACAGCAGGTGTACAGACCAGGAACTCAGCTCAGGGATGCTGGGAGCCCCTCATAATGGACACAGCAGGTGTACAGACCCGGGAACTCAGCACAGGGATGGTGGGAACCCTTCATAAAGGGCACAGCGGGTGTACAGACCCGGGAGCTCAGCACAGGGATGGTGGGAGCTCCTCATAATGGGCACAGCGGGTGTACAGACCCAGGAACTCAGGGATGGTGGGAGCTCCTCATAATGGGCACAGCAGGTGCACAGACCCGGGAACTCAACATATGGTTCTCACCAATAGAGTTTACAAGGGATAGGTGGGACTGTCGGAGGGTTTAACTCTTCAACATCCTACAAACACTGTTCTTTTGGTCCATGTACACCTGGGAAGATCTATATATTACTTGTTTTATGTATTTTCTGTACTGTTGTATCATGGTCAGTCCCATCCCAGTCTCATCATTGAAGATGGAGAAGGAGTGGAGTTACATGACTAAGAGGCTACTAAACCTCACCCTGGAGATCATCTACCTGCTGACCGGAGAGGTGAGGAGGATTCTGGGAGGGTCATTAAAAGGTAGCAATGTACATATGTGATACTTATCATCTGATTACATAGGATTATGGACCAATAAAGAAGCCCAGTGATCCTCCATCTCCCACCTTGATGTCTGAGAGAAGCAACAAGAAGATCCTAGAAGTCATCCAGAAGATCATTGAGCTGCTGGCGGAAGAGGTGAGCGGTGCCGGGAATTCTGGGACATGATCCAGGAACAGACAAGGGATGTGTCTGGATGGTGACTGTATCATTGTGTGTGTCAGGTTCCTATAAGGTGTCAGGATGTCTCTGTCTATTTCTCCATGGAGGAGTGGGAGTATCTAGAAGGACACCGGGATCTCTACAAGGACATCATGATGGAGAACCGGCCGCCCCTCACATCACCGGGTAAGAGGAGACTTTCATTTCCTGAGTATTGAGGATCACCATAGATACACACATCCTCTGATATAAAGACATAGAAACAATGTATTCAGTCAGTGTGTGTGTCTCCTACAGATGGATCCAGGAACAGAAATACCCCAGAGAGATGTCCCCGTCCTCTGTATTCCCAGGATTCCACACAGGAACATCAGGAGTTCCCTCAGACCCGTCCTCTATATTCCCGGGACTCCACACAGGAACATCAGGAGATCCCTCAGACCCGTCCTCTGTATTCCCGGGACTCCACCCAGGAACATCAGGAGATCCCTCAGACCCGTCCTCTATATTCCCGGGACTCCACACAGGAACATCAGGAGATCCCTCAGACCCGTCCTCTGTATTCCCGGGATTCCACACAGGAACACCATGAGATCCCTCAGACCCGTCCTCTGTATTCCCGGGATTCCACACAGGAACATCAGGAGATCCCTCACACCTGTCCTCTGTATTCCCGGGATTCCACACAGGAACATCATGAGATCCCTCAGACCCGTCCTCTGTATTCCCGGGACTCCACACAGGAACATCAGGAGATCCCTCAGGAGGATCAGGTGACCGCTCTTCTGACAGGTTCCTCTCCTAGGGTGATTGACATAACATATTGTCTGCCATTTCCCCCATCTGTGGCTCCAATAATGACTTGTTATGTCCAATAATGTCAGGTAGGGCAAGCTTTGGACCACCCGTAAAGGTCATGGAAGGTTCACACAGGCATAATAAGGCAGAATTGAAGCTCCCTATGCAAATATTTGCAAGTTCAACCATTTCTTGACTTATTTTTGTGTGCTGTGCAGGATGAAGACATCATTATTATGAAAGTGGAAGCTGTGGATGATGAAGAGACGGATGTGAGGGGTGATGAGCCGTGGACCGAGGAGGAAATCCCTCCAGAGCTCAGCACAGGTGAGTGAGCCACACAACATAAAGGAATCTATTATGCCAATAACGAAAGTGGTTCAAGTGTACCTGTCACCAGTTCCAAACTGGGCTGACTTGTCTCCTGTAATGTTGAACGCTTCACTCCACCCAAAACGTATTCTTAGCTTATTAGAGCGGAGATAGGTTGGAACCTCTGTCATGGTTTTGGTTTTTTTTGGGCAGGTTTTAGCTCACTTCCCGTATTGGTGACCAAACAGGAAGTGAGGAGCTCTCTCATGAAGTCGGTATACAGACAGCAATAAAACCGATAGCCCTCCCTATCAAGCAAACTTAAAGAAAGAAAAGGTTTCTATAGGGGTGTAAGTCTATAGCGTTTCAATCTTCCTTTTTTGATAAGTTCTATATCATTTGGGAACAGCAGCCCATGTAGGTCAATGATAAGTTGAAGGCTGCAGTACCGATACTTTGCTTTTAGTACTCGCCAATACCGGTCCTTCCCCTGGCATGGAGTCGGCTTCCCGGGCAATCAGGAAGCCAGGTGGTGGGTAATGACATACCCACTGCCTGGCTTCCTGATTGCCCGTAAAGCCGGCTCCATGTTGTTTGGCCAGCTTGATTGTGGCCAATCAGGAAGCCGGGCGGCAAGTACCATATATACTCGAGTATAAGCCGAGTTTTTCAGCCCATTTTTTTGTGCTGAAAAAACTGCCTCCCAGCTTTCTGATTGGCCAGGAAGCTGGGTCCATGTCCATGGAAAGCAGGCTTCCCGGCCAATCAGCATCGAGCCGGCTGTTCGGTATCGGAGCATTTGGGCGAGTATGAGTACTCACCCAAAGATTCGGTGCTGGTGTTCTATCGAAAGTTCCAACTCGTCAAGATCTCCAACGACCTGACTTGGGGTTTAGTTAGCAGTAAGAGGTTTGGCCGAGAAGGGTGTCAAAGCGGCGGCCATATTGAACGGGGTAACTCAGATGAATAACGTGTTGGATTAGTCTGACCCTAGCTCATTTTAATACTTTATTACTG